CAGAGCGCACTCGCAGCCGAGGCACCGAGACTACCGAAGGCCCATCCATCACTAAGTGGAGCGGGAAAGTGCCGAACCATTTTTCCGCGTCAACACAACTAACAATAATCAAAGGACAAAAACAGAAGAAGAAGATGAGTAAGGGTTACTTGCGGTTTCCTCTTGGTAGAAGCTGATGGCTCTATGGTAGCGCCTGAAGAGAGAAAAGTAACGGTAGAGCGCGCTATAATTTTGGCTTCCCCGTTTAATTCCACGATAAAAAAAAAAAATTTGGGGACAAAACTTGTAGGTAAAATAAATTTTAAAACATCTAGAAAATTAATTTGCGGATATGATTTGAGGATTTGATTTAGGGTTTGTATTGAATTTGAGGATATGATTTTAGGGTTTGTGTTTGAATTTGAGGATATGATTTGAGGGTGTAGAGTCAATTTAGGTTTCTCCTATATTAGATTTTTAAAAAAATTCCCACGTCAATAAGTTTGAAATTCTTTTTTTTGCCAATAAATTAGTAATAGTAAACGCCAACATGAAGTTAAAATAGTTAAAATAGTAAACGCCAACTTGAAGTTAAAATAGTAAACGCCCTTTTCTTTTATAGTCTGAAAAAGATTTCATGCATTTTGATTGTTTTCAATTCTTATATTCAAATCAATTCTTTAGAGAAAATAAAACAAATTTGCTTCTATAGTTTTTCTCGTTCTATTTCTTTCAATATAATAATGTATATATAAAGTAAAATGTAGAGAATGATAAAACATTTATATAAAAAATCAATAATACCTTTTAGGTTAGATCTGATCCGATCCCAATTCCCGACTTAAACCAGTGTTTGAATGTGAAAGATTGTGAAATCACCCACGGCTTTTGCACAGTGACGACGTAGGTTCTCGGTTAGTTTTGTTTTTAATTGTTGTTGTTGTTTTTCTTTTTTGTGGCTTGGGTTTGATTTATTTGGGATTTGGGTGTATTGGATTTATTTTGGGTGATTGATGCTTGTTGCAATTGGAAAAATGGTATTTGTTGATTTGTACATCATTTTGAATTTGATTTGATATGGTTTTGCTCTATCTATACATAATCTGAGGATCGATCATGCAGTAGTGCATGTATGTATGAGTTTTCTTGCCCTTTATCCATATCTGATCGTTAATCGCATAATAAACTACTGCAAGCCAGGTCAAACAAGACCAGCCAACACAAACTCTGGGGTTTCTGATGGCTGCAAACATGAGAAATCGAAGAGCAAGAACTACGGTATGAATTTAACTGCTGGATTCAAAGACCCTATGAATTTTAACTCATGCAACACTTGATCTTTTAGAAATATATTTGATTCAAAGACTGCTCAAATTTAAAAATTGTTGCAATGTATGAATATCTATCAAGCTTGTCTAATTTTCTATTGAATAAGTTGGTCCTATAATGCACACCCCCTTTATTTTGTCGCTTCCTTCTTCTTTCATCCCTCTCTTCTTTTTCTCTCACGACCAGGTCGACCGACTCCCTGCAGTTGACATCCTCGACCACCAAAGACAAGATATGGCTACTAATTTTAAGGAATTCTCAGAATCAGTTAAGGCGGAGCTCTCAATTGAACAAGTACGTGAATTCTTGGAAGCTAATGACCAAGATTTGTCTGGCTCTGATGATGCTCTTCTCCGAAGATGGTGAGCTGGTTTTTATTTTCTTTTATTTATTTGGATCTTTTCAAAGTTGTTATTGGAATATGTACTCGAGTAACTAATTTTGTTTACAACTTATAATTGTTTGTGGCAGCCAAGCGATGCTGTTTTATGGGCTATTGGAGAAATGCCCAGTTTGCCAAGGGAATAGTTTGGAGTTCACTGGATGTTATTGTGAGTGTGCCACTTGCATTTATCGCTCTAGGTATCCACCAAGGAAACGAGGGGCCATCAAGTACCCTATTAGCATCGTCAGGCAAATCAACCCTCGTTTCAACCCGGATTGGGACCCTCCTTATGTGGTGAATATGATTCAAATCTCATCCCACCATCCCTTATTATGAGCTTCCTTTGTGTCATCTAACTTTGTATGTGTTTTGGTGCAGGAAGGTCAAGGGTTCATCGCCCGTTTTTGGTCGGATGTTTTACGACCACACAATCCAAGGGTATAACATCGCCTATTACTTGTATGTTGGTTTGGACAAAATAATAATCATCATAATTTGTATGTTGGTTCATCACAGGCGGCGGAGAGAGTGGAACTAACACTAAATATGTATCAAGATGAAATGGAGATAAACGGCCGGAGGATGAACAAGAGAACTTTTTGGATCTGTGTATACCTAGGGGCTTTTATGGTGACCTGTACTTTCTCTATCTTCATGGTCAAACTTTGGTCCAACCTGTCCATAGAATGAAGATCCCAAAACACTGCTGGGATTGAATACATAGACGCTCTTTTGTTGTTCCTGGATTGCTCCAATACTGGTTTCATCGATGTAAAGTCATCCATGCATCCTCACGCTAGCTAGCTCCCTCCTATCACTTCACTACACAAGTGGAATCTATTGACAATCTTTGTTCAATCTCATCAAAATATTGTGGTCATGGATAGAATCTTTATTAAGGTGCATGACACTTCGTTTCCAATTTGTTTTGTTTTGTTTTGTTTTGCTCCGAAAAATAAAGTTACCCAATTCAACAACAGATAGAAGATCGCTTGCTTTTCTTTGTCTGTTCCAAACGCCACGTGTAATATGAGGGTTGCTTCTTTTTCTTTCTGGAACATTCCCAAAATCTCTGCTTTTCTATCTCTAGACCCTCCTAGATTGTTCTCTGTTTCTCCATGAAAGTCACAAGAAAGAAGAATCCAGACAGACATGCAGACATAAACCCTGAACTGAACCTATCAAATCCCATCCTATATAAATCCACCCTTGCACTTCCTTATTCCCCATCAGGAAGAATTACAAACAAAACCACCCATTTCCCATCAAAGCCAGCCTAGTCTCGATTAATTAGTTTAGTACCATCGGATTCCGTTCCTCCTATTTATTTAATTTCCCTCCTCACCAAAACCATCACCATGCCTAGGAGGATAGTGATGAGGATGGTGGCCTTCTTAGGCCTCCTCCTCATGCTCATGGCCACCACCATCAAAACCCATGCCTTAGTTCCATACCCAACAAGACCATCATCACTAAGTCTATGGGACATGACCGATGACCCCTTCAGAATTCTCGAACAAACCCCCTTCACCATCCCCATAGACGTCTCAGCCGCCGCCCTCCAAGACACGCTCGCTTTGGCACGTGCCGACTGGAAGGAGACGGCCACTGCGCACGTGATCACATTGGACATTCCGGGGATGAAGAAGGAGGACGTGAAGATAGAGGTGGAGGAGAACAGGGTGCTCAGGATCAGCGGAGAAAGGAAGATGGAGAAACAAGGGGAGGGTGACAAGTGGCACAGAGCTGAGAGGACAAATGGCAAGTTCTGGAGGCAGTTCAGGCTGCCTGCGAATGCTGACGTGGATCAGATCAAGGCTCATCTTGAGGACGGGGTGCTCAGAATTACGGTGCCAAAGTTTGCTGCGGAGAAGAAAAGGCAGCCTAAGCTCATCGACATTGCTCAACACACTACTTCTGATGATGATGCGGATATCAAGGCTGCCAAGGTCGCATGATTTCCAAGTTACCTATATATCAATATGTATAAGAATTATCTTTGTGTTGATGACTTTGGATGGGAGTGAATCAAATTAAGTTTTTGTAATGCGTGATCTGAGATCTAATAAAATTATATATTTTCTTTATCTTAGTTTGACCCCTTTTTTAGCGGCAAATTTTAAATGGAAGTATCACCGATACAGAATTTCTCTTGTATTTCTCATGTAGGGGGTTTTGTAATGTAATAAGGAGTTATAACATTTTTTTAATTTATTACTATTTTTATATCATTTCATATTTTTCAATTATTTTTTAAAAATTATCAACCTTTTTATTACTACTAAGAAAATGGTGGACTATATTACTTAACGGATTTTGATAAGAACTTGAAAATTTTGTTTTCTCAAGAGATTTGTAATTCAAGAATTTTGTTTTCTAAAGAGATTTGTAGTTCAAGTATTTAAGAGCAAGTATTCTATTCGAAGAGTTGATTTTTGCACTTTTATTTTGTTTATTTACACTCCAATACATTTTAATTAATTTTGTTATTTTTTAATCAGCTCCCTACCTTATTTGAATTCCCCTTCATATATCACTTGCATTAAAATAAATTTTTTTACGAGGCCTGTAATTTACCTCTGCACCTGTTCTTAGGTTCAATTTTACTCTCTTCTTGATATTGCTTTTATTAAAATAAAAAAAGGTTGATTTTTTCACTCTTTTTTGTTTATTTATATTCTCTTTTAATTTTTAATACTTTTAAAACAATATCGTTAAAAAAAAAGGAGTGTAAATGAACAAAAGAGAGTGGGAACCAGAAGGGAGCATATAAAATGGGGAAATTAGCACCCAAAATAAATTAAAAAAAAAACTTCGAACATTTTCTAGGCTCTTCATTTTTCATTTGTGTATAATTTTAATTTATGCGCTTTAAGCTTTTGTGGCGGTTTGAAAAGTGGGTGAAGTTTTGCCGATTTTCACAGAAACTCCAGAGAGAGCATCCCTCCCAATAATACTAATAGGCAGTATCCCCATCCCTGCGCGTACAAGTAAAAAGCTTACAATTTGGTCTCAGTGGAAGAAATAAAGAAAAAACGAATACCAACGGAGTTCATGGAAGAAGAAACCCTAAACCCTCAATCAAAGACTCTTACTTCTGAAGATGACAACAATGGAGACCAACCCATGCCCGACCTCCCTGACCAAGACCCTAGCTCCTCTGATTCCGACTCTGATTCTGGCTCAGACGACGGAGACCAAGCCCAGAAAAACCTGCAGCTCCAAACCCTAGAAGCCGAGCTCTCCACCAACCCTGGCAACTACGATGCTCATGTCCAAGTATTTACACTTGTGAATTTCTATTATCTGTTTTATTTTTTCTTCTTTGGCTATGCATTGTTATATGATTACCCTCTGTTTGGTTGCCGAGTAAAAAACCTGAATTGGAATTCTTATTGTTATTGCTGTAGTACATAAAGATTATAAGGCAGATAGCTGACATTGAAAAGCTGAGGCAAGCAAGGGAAGCTATGAATGAGCTGTTTCCGTTAACCCCTTCTATGTGGCAGGATTGGGCTAAGGACGAAGCTTCTCTGTCCACTGGGTACTCTCTTTTCGTTATCAATGCACTTCTATTAGCCTTAGTGCTCTTCATATTAAAAACAACAACAATGGAAACAGAAAAGAAAAAGTAGTGCCTGTTTTGGTCGCTTATTTTTCTTTTTATATTATTGTTTGATTTGAGATCACTCTATTTTCTCCACTTTGCAGGTCTGATGCTTTTCCTGCTATTGAAAAGCTTTATGAGCGAGGAGTCTTTGAGTATCTGGTTTGTCATGCTCCTGTCTTCCAGAACATATGCAATTTAAAAATTCTTATATCTTAATATGTCATGTCATATTTATATTACTTTTGGACAGTTTATGGGTGAAAAATGACAATGAGAAGCAAAAGAAACAATATTAACTATGAAATGAAATAGGATGCCATCCATTTCCTTCAATTAGAGCAGAATAATACCATACCAGCAATGTTTCTGTTTTGCTTGCGTATAACTCGCCTCAATATCTCTGCAAAAGGTTTCTATTATCTGTGCTTTTTGTCACAATCAAATGTGTAATGCTTTGCAACTTTTTCCAAGACTGAAGCTTGATTATCGGATTACTTGTAGCTCATCTTTTTCTGTTGTTAATAATCAAAGAATTGCTTGTTTGGAGTATCGACAGTTAACTTTGTTACCTTCAACTGCAGTCCATCTCTCTTTGGCGTGACTACTTAGATTTTGTTCAAGAAAATGATCCCTCAGTAAGAGAATGTTCACCTGCTGGTATTTTGAAGGCAAGAGATCTATTTGAACGCGCTCTTACTGCAGCTGGTTTGCATGTTTCTGAAGGCAGTAAACTATGGGAAGCCTACAGGAAATTTGAGCAAGCTATATTTGATGCTACTGATGAGACTGATAATCAGGTTTGTAGTGGTAAATTGGACATCTGGGCTGTCTTTTCATGTATTACATTTTTCTATTTTCACAGAAGTTTTTGTTTCCTAGTAAAAACGAGAGAGAGACTACAATCTGATCTGAACTCCATGTTTGACCTTTTTTAGTCTCATTGTTCAACATTTCTATATGATCTTTTCTTTTTTGCCAATATCTTTTTGCTTTGCTTCAAATTTACATGTTAATATTACGAGTAGGCTTGTGATATTTTAATGGTTAAGTCATTCAGATGTAAATATGTGGATCAGTATCTAATTTTAGTTATGATTCAGATCTCTTATTTTAATACCTGTTAGGGAACAACGAAAAGCCTACAGGTTGTTTGGAGTGAAAGAAAATAAATAGTAGAAATCTTGAAGAATGTTGAAGAAAAATTCAGAATACTTTGGAGGAGAATAAGAATTTCCTGAAGCTTTTTTTTAATGCATGGGAAGAGTGTCATTTAGCACTGTTTTTACGGTTCTGTGATGTGTTGTATTGTTTTCTTTAAAGCTAACTGGGTTATTCCAAAAGGATGCTTTGAGCTTATGAGTACTAAGTTTGGGGCTTTGGGGCAAGAAGGCCAAACCATTATAGGGTTGTTTGTTGTTGGCAGTTTTCTGGAACATTTGGATGGAGCACAATAGAAGAATTTTTGAGGATTATAAGGGTGCGGGGGTAGATGAACTTTGGGATAGAGTGAGGTTCTGGGCAACTCTATGGGCATCGGTTTCGGCTGATTTTAAGATTATGCTTATTCGTTTATTGAGCATGTTCTATTTTACATTTTTTGAATTGTACTTTCTTGTTAATTGTTCCTTCCCGGATTGTGGATTCCTTATTCACTCTTTGTAATTAGTTGCCCTACTTTAATAAAATTATGTTTCTTTTAGGGGGAAAAAAAAACCAGAGAAGTTATTTATGTTGTTCACCCCTTTAAGAATAAAGTATATAATTGTAATTCTGAACAGAGTTTTATGATAACTAAGTTATATTGTAGTTTCCTTAAACATTTATACAGCTTGGTTTTTTCAGTTAAAATTTACATTTCTTAGAAACTAAAGATAAAGCAAGTCCCAACAACAAAACAGAGATAAAAAAACCTAAAACAAAAAAAAGAAAAGGACTCATAGTTCTGATTCACCTTGTTGAGTTGAGTAGAGGAAAGCAAAAAAGTTGAAGCTGAGCCAGATAATGCCAAAACAGTGGGAGGGAACATAATTTTTGTGTGGTGGGTGGTTCTAATAGAGCGAAGGTACACAAAATTTTATCCTTGAGCAGACTATTGACAACTGCGCTTTCATAATTCAATGCGGTTTAGGTATTTGGTTTATTGCACTTCAGATCTAACCTTTAACCTTCTGCTTGAAATAAATAAATGATTGTTTTTAGTTATAAAAAAAAAATTAGAAGTAAAGTTCAAATTCTACCTGCAAACTTAAAAATGATGCATCGCTGTCATATATGTGTTGATATGAATGCCCCAACAAGTTTTATTGCTTTGATCGCTTACCAGTTATTTATTATTCATATGTTGTTATGGTTGTCTTTTGGATAATTATTGCTGCTTTTAGATACTTAAATAATTTTTGGAGATCTATAGATAAGAAATGCTTCTCACATCACAGGCAAGAGACAAGCAGATTCAGCGCATCCGTACTATATTCCACCGTCAGTTGTCAGTTCCCCATGTTAATATGAGGTCAACACTTTTGGATTACAAGGCATGGGAGGTGGAACAAGGGAACATTCTTAATGCTGGCTCAAGTGACCTGGATGGGATTTCATCCCATGTTGCCTCAGCATACAAAAAGGCGTTGGAAATGTATAATGCTCGTGTTCATCTTGAAGAACAGATTTGTAGGCAGGATATGTCTGACTCAGAAAAACTTCAAAATTTCATGGTATGTATCATTTCAAATTAGTACTTCCTAGAATTTGGGAATAAAGAAGTATTTATGTTAGAAATGGCATTTTATTTTTCCTTTTTATTGGCCATTTTGGCTTCTGATATCCTTGCATCCTTGTCTTGTTTGAACTTACTGTTAGTATTTTCTGCCTTTTTTTTTTTTTCCTTTCTTTTGTATAGGATTGTCATTGTGATTCCCCCAATATATTTATTTACTTCATGCGTGAAGTTTGCGGTTTATGGAAAGAATAATTTATTCTGTTCTGCAGAACTACTTGAAATTTGAACAGTCTTCTGGAGATCCAGCCCGGGTTCAGATGTTGTATGAACGCGCTATTACTGAATTTCCTATATCCAGCTATCTCTGGCTTGATTATACTCACTATTTGGATAAAACATTAAAGGTTTTTTTCCTTGTTCATTTCTTATTATATATTTTCTGTTTTGAGGGCAACTCTCTGCTGGTTAAGTAATTAATGTTTTATGTTACCTTTTCAGGTTGGAAGTATTATAACCAATGTGTATTCCAGGGCTGTGAAGAATTGCCCCTGTGTTGGAGAGCTTTGGGTCCGATATTTGCTTTCCTGGGAGCGTGGGCATGCTTCTGAGAAAGAGATTGCTGCTGTACGTTTTAGATTTCAGTTTTGTTTGGCGAGAGCATTCTTTTATTGACTTATGTTTGATTGTTTCTAATTTGGTTGTTAATTACTTGTTGCAAACTTGTTTTTAAATTGGTTATTAAGTTGCATCAGACA